TTTTTAGATTTTTGTGTTAGTTTCGGTATAGAAGGATAAGTTTCCAAAGAAATAATCTTGTAAAATGAACAATATAATCGTCCATTTGACAAATAATGCGCTTCAATTTTTGAATTTTTTGGATAGTCATGTATAAAAACACGACTAGAAAAGGTATCTATTGATAAAAAGATTTCGTTAGAATTTCTTTCATATTAAAAAAAAATATACTAGAAAATACATTTACTTTCAGCAGAAATAGTTGTTTCTACCATTTTTTTGTATTTTAAAACAAAATAGTTTTGCTAAAACTTTTTACATACCACTAATTGATTCCAAAAAAAAACAACTCCATCCAAAAAAAACCAATTTTCAATCAATTCCCGACAGGTTTCAAAGTTGTGAAAACCAGTTTCAAAAGTAGGCTAAGTCACCAATAATTGGTCTAAATCATGCGCGTCATCGTGCATTATCCTGTATTATCACTATTTTGATCAGTATGTCGATCAAAATTCATATTTATCACTAAAATTTAATTAGTGATACGAGACAAATTGGCCCATATGTTCGGAATGCAAAATTATATTCGTCACCTATTATTTGTCACATGGTTAATTTCTTACTGCGGCCAAATGTCACATGGTGGTAGCATTTTTTGTGGTAAATGGAATGACTACATCAGTGGTGATATGAAAAAAATTCATTTTAAAAAGTTTAAATTAAAAAGGCATTCGATTAAAAACATATTTTGCAAAGTATTTTGAAATTATTTTTTGACAAAAAATTAGAATTAGAATAATTCAGGCCAAAAATAATAAATTTTAGAAAAAATTTTTTTGTTTCATTAAATAGCAGAAGTTTTTTTTTTTTTCTTTTCAATTTTTATACTTTATAAATGAAACCACAATTTTTTTCATAATTATCTGAAAATTTTATTAATATTTTGAAGGATGACAAGTATTATAATATTACAATTGAAGTTGGAATAGATCCTGAAGTGAAAATATTTCAAGCTCATATGGTTATTATAAATTACCATTCAACTTTCGTAAAACATTATCTACAAATGAAAGAAACAATGATGGTACTTTAGCTCACCTTAAATTACAAAGTATCTCTCCTAACATATTTCAAATAATTTTAAAGTAAGTTTTTTAAGAAAAGTAAAAGAATTATCGTTATTAAATCTCATTAATTTTTTTTTACAATTAATTTTTAAAGATACATTTATGGGGGTATTCTTTTTTTGGATGAAGTTGAATCTTTAGATGTATTTAATATCTTGGTTGCTACTGAAACACTTAAATTACAAAAAATTGTTAATTATTTAAAATCATAATTGATCAAAAGCAAAGCTAAATAGATGGAAGAGAATTTCTCTCTTATTTATAATACAATTTTTCAACATAACAGCTTCATCGAACTTTAAACTTTTTATACAGATATTATGTCAAGATATCCTGAAAAAATATTCAAGTCATTTGATTTCACTGCTATTCATGAAAAATCCTTAATTTCTTTAATTAAACAAGATGATTTAAAAATGAAAGAGATTGAAGTTTAGGAAAATATATTGAAATGGGATCTTGCACAAAATCTTACTTTACTTTCAGATCCAGATAATTAATCAGATGATGACTTTAGATCAATGGAAAGTACTTTGCAAAAATGTTTGCCGTTCATTAGATTCTTTCAATTATCATCAAAAGATTTTTTAGAAAAAGTGACACCATACAAAAAGCTTTTTAGATCTCAATTATCTTAATTTTATATAGATTTAATAAAATATTATCCGGATGAAGAGGTCAATAATATAGTTTTGACAATTCAACTAGCAAAAGGCTTAATTAAGCATTGACTCAAAATTGATTACAAATAAAATAGCAGCATATATTGCAAGTTGGATTGATAGAAAAGAAACAAATTATCCAATATACAAATATATACCTTATAATACACTTGATATTTCTTATGAATTTAAATTATTTTTCTGTGAAAGCTAGGATGAATTTTCTTCTGAAAACTTTCATAAATTATATGACAATAAACTAAAAACTATAACAATTGTTAAAGTGAAGGGAAATAATAAAATTCTTAGAGGATATAATTCTAATATATAGGAATCAAGCGATGAAGACAAATAGTTATCAACTGATCTAAACTTTATATTTTCATTTACATTTATAAACTTAAAAAACGTTATTTTAAGTAGAGTAAAAGATTACGATCATGCAATTGCATCTAATGTCAGATGTGGTCCAAAATTTGGCTATGATTTTTTAATCATTGATGATGAATACGGCAGTTGTTTTAATAAATTTTATAAAGTAAATATAAGAGCTATAGAAGGAAAATTTGATATCGAAAAGCATGAGATATTTCAAATTTTTACAAGACAATACATTAATTTGAAACATTTAACTTAACAGAACTTAATAATATTAATACTGTTCACAATCCATTTATAATATTAAAGTTTTTGTTATAAAATCCTATTACTTGTTGTATATTTGTAATAACATTATGGGCTTTAGATTATATTATTTCAAAAAATGGTTTTCGCTTTAAGATCTAAATTTATATTTTTCAATAAATGAGAACTAGATTTATAATTTAGGCTAAGAATCCTAATTTAACAAGCTAAAATTATAATTTGCAATCTCATCAAACTTTTTATATGGTGCATCATATAAAAAATGCAAATCAATTTGTTATATGCAGAATTCCAATTTTACTTCCAGATCCAGATATTTAATCAGATGATGATTTGATTTTAAAGAAATGGATAAATACTTTACAAAGAATTTACCTTTAATTAAATACTAAAAGAATTCTTGAGAAAGTTGACTTCTTATCAAAAGCTTTGAATGTTTGAGATTTGTTTAATTACCATCTGGATGATAATAATAATAAGATAATTTCAACTTTTCAACCGACAAGGGGAAGTTTAAATATTGATTTAAAACTTATTACTGATGAATTATTTCAAGTTGGATTGATAAAAAAGAAATATATAGATATATATTATTGATAATACATATGAATTTAAATTACTATCTTGCGAAAGCTATTTACTATTAAAATTTTTCATAAACTTTCCTTCAATAACTGAAAGGAACTAATGAAATTATTGGAGGAGATAATCCTATCATATGGGAATCAAATGAAAACAAATGGTTATCAACTGATAAAAGTTTTATATTTTTATTCACATGTTGAATATAAAAGATGTTGTTTAAGTAGAGTAAAAGATATAATCATGCAATTGGATCTTCTGTCATCAATAATGATGCATGTTTTAACAGTGATTGAAATTTATTAGAAAGGATAGTAATACATGTTTCTGTCATAATAGATATTATAAAAAAAAAATATAAGGTCTATAGGAAGGAGAATTTGATATTGAAGAACATGAATATTAAAAGGGTAACAGATTAATATTAATATTGTCAAGATGTGAGATTTTTATCGTGTACATTTTCTAAAAAAATATAGCACTAAATTATATCATTCAATATGCTTTTTCTTGCGTTTAATTATAACACGAAATTTTTAAGATTTTTCTTCAGTAATTTTTAATTAAAGTTACGAATTCTTTAAAAAAGTCTAATTAAGCAAAGATAGAATCTCAAACTTGCAAAATCGATAATAAAATGGAATTATAATTAATTATTTCAAAATCAATTGGATTCTGACTTTACGTCTACTAAAATCTTTCAAACACATCAACCAAAGCATTCAAGTCTCACTAAATTGTATTCCTTGCCAATGTGTTGAAATATTCTTCAACATTCTCTAATATTTCATCTCATTAACATTGATGGTAAGATGCAGTTAACTGGGTTCAAATAAAACTCAGTTATGGTATTTGCCTTTTCAATTACTGCTTTATCTTAATCCTTTCCTAATCTCTTCTGATTTATTAGATAGATTCTTTAAATTTCTCATTTATTTAAGATTGCCAATCTTAGATATTCTCTATCTGTGACTGCCGGAAATAACTGTGACTGGTCAGGGACTTCTGACTAACTGGGTTGACTGACCGAATTTTTGACTGATTTCGATCAGTTGACCATGTTTTAATTAGTAAACTAAGAATTAAATTAACATCATTTCTTTTAAAAAAAGATAATGCTGCGTCACTAAACATAGATTAATTTCAATACATGCATAATTCTAAAAGGAAAATTAAAACAAATAAAAAAAATCTTAATATAAGGGAGTTTAATCATTTCTTATTAGAATCGTTAGAGTAAAAATTAAATTTATCATAGTTAGCTCAATAATAACTTTTATTGTCCAAAGCGAAAGCGGAGAACGTTTACGTTCTGTGCAAAAGGTTAAAATGTTGGTTGGTCACTATAGATGTTACACACGTGATTAGTGTAACTGAAACTATTATAATCAAATAGATGTTACACCGTGGCATTTGTAGCATTAGCATTAGAAAGACTGTCTCCTCCAATTATTTCTACGTTGATGCTTGATGATGACCAGTACAAAGTATACAATATACTTTGTAACACGTGTGGTTTCGAAAATGAGATATATACCAAATTTCTTCATGGCTGGACAGGAAAAAATTCATGACCCTTAAATAATAAACATGCTGGATAATAAAAAAAATTGACTACATGCTAAGGGCGTCGCAGCTCAAAACATTCGTTCTTAAGGATAAGGCAAATATCTGGACATTACCAAATATTATCTCTAGATGGTCAATCCTGAGAGTTGCTTTATCGCTATAATAATAGATGAGGTTTCTGATGAACTTTTCATATTCTTAAATAACGATATATAAGTTACATTTCCAACGATCAGAAATATCACCAAGATGAATGTTAAAAAAAAGACGGTAAATTTCGAAATGAACAGTATACAAGCCTAGAGATACCAATTCCTGATACAAAATGCATTCGCTCTAATGGTCCACAAAACCAATATTGTCAACCGTGAAATAATCTTAATTATTCTTTAGTTCAGACATTTCATTTACTGAAGAAGAATCAAAATGCTTCTGTTCAGAAACCTAAATTATCACCATTTTCAAATATCACATAATGATGCTTTGGCAATAAATAAATGCCAAAGGGGTTATGAAGGTATGTTGATTTTTGTAATTTTTGTAGAATTCTTAGGTATAAAGGAATGATCCCATCCACGAGCATTGTTAATTTCCCTGTAAAGTAATTTTCTAGAAAGTCAGAAATCTCGAATGTTTTCATTATTAAATTGTAAAATTATCTATTAGTTAATTTCGAGAGATTACTTGATTGTCTTTTCTGTTCTGAAACATTTTCTTTATAAGTCCAAAGGTTATGATGTTTCTCTATGTGAATCCTAAAAATAGAAAATCCTATCAAAGTTCATTATTCGAGCAATCTCAAAATTTATTTTTATATTTCTAAAAAAGAATTGTTATAATATTACAAGCCCAAACATTTAATCTAGTTGAATTTAATTCTTTCAGTATTAATAATGATTATTATTATTTATTTTCTTATAAAACTGTACTTAACACATGTTTTCTATCATGAAATTATTAAAAATTTGAAATCCTTTAAAGAAATCTTAACCATTATTAATAAAGGTAAACCCATTAACAATTCTTTAAAGAACTTTAACGTGCCTGTATCCATGTATAATGATTCAATATTCTACAACAGGTTTGCTTTTTTAGTTTACAATTTGTCAATTTGTGCATTGTTTAATAGGAATCTTTATTCTTTTAAAGATGTTGCAAGTTACATGATGGAATATTTGTTGCTGATCGGCTATCAACCAAAGCAAACTTTGTAATTATTTTGGATGTAATAGTTATAATATAGACTTGAATAAATTATTGTCATTCTCAATTTTTTTTTTTTTTTTGAAGAAAACGTTAAACCATAAATAAATTCAGTTTTAATGTATCTTATGTGACTAAGCAAACCTTTCAGCGTATAGCGAAAGATGTTTTTTTATAATGGTTCAAAACGGATAGAGTAGATATTTTGGAGGAGTTCTCTTTTATAAAAAAAGCATTGAATTACTGACCAAGCATTATGATCTGAAATTTATGTCGGACCAATCTATAATAGATTAAATTTCATATCAAAAATTAGTTAAAATTAGTTTGTTTAGAAAATCATCTCAAAAAAGTTTTTGGCACTTCACTCATAAAAGTAAGGATGCTATGTAATTTGTTGCTGTACTCATTAGGTAAAATATTTTTTTAAAAAAAAAAAATAATTCAACCGAGAATTTTAACATGGTCACTTGAATATTTATTTATATTGTGTTGCAAAGAATTATGCTGATTTGACCAATTAATTTTTAATGTTTTATTTTATCTTTGAGAATTTTTTTTAAGAAAAGATTAGATGATAAATATAAAACGTGCAAACTTGATGTTTTAATAATTCCTTTTTCTATAATGAATTTTTTTCTTCTCGTTTTGAATTTTGTTATTACCAACAGCTTGAGCCTTTGATGTTGGTTTATATTCGTAATTAGGGAAAAATAATTTGTGAAATTCCTTGAACTGCGTAGACAATTCTTCAAACATTTTCTTCTCGCTAGAATCTGCTTCTCCCCAAATAAACCCTGCTATCTTACTTAGTTGTATCCTGTCTCCAAGTTCTCTTTTAATCCTTCCTTTAGTAGCTACCAACCCTAAGATGAGCCTAAGTATCATGAAGCTGTTTACAGGGCTTTTTGACACTATTTGATCAAGTGGTGTGGTATCAAGTTTATAAAATTTGAAGAATAAATTCGGTATATTGTATTTGTGGTTGAATATTTCTTCCCAGTTAAATTTATTAATGATTTTAAATTGTTCTTCGTTGGGAAATTCATTCTTGGATGACTTAAGTTTGCCTTACCAATCGGGATTAGCAATAGTACTCATGGTTTAATTTTCAACGAAATTTTGTAATTTGTTATGTTTTTTTTTGATAAAAGGTTTTGTTCTATTTGTCGTCTGATGTATTTATAATGAAATTTATCAATTACAAATTACGAAATATATATATATATATATATATAAAAAGGTTTATACCAAAACTTTGCTGGTATTCACATTAAAAAATAAAAAATTTTTTACATCTAAGTTACTTTGCTAAAATTATTAAAATTACATATCTGCCGATTTGCAAATTTTAAACCCAAATTGAGTTATTGTATAACACCATCAGCTGATTTCATAGGAAGACTTTCATGTGATTGGCTGATTAAGTTACACAAAATTTGTAATTGATATTGTAAATATTTATACATGTCACGTGATATAATACATGATAATAAATTTAACTATTGTATTTAAAGTATTTAGCATTTAAATGTAAAATAAATTAAAGTATTAAGAATAAAAACTATTGTTTCAAAAAATAGTTTAATTTATTAATTTTATATAATAGTCTTTAATTTTTGTAAAAAAAAAAATTGTAAAAAAAATTTTTATTTTTATTGTAACTAAAATGCTTCTTTAAATAAAGTTGTCATTTTAAACGATCTATTGCTGTTGAAATTTACGCAATGCCTCTTCTAATACACATGCTACATATTCTATAGGTTCGCTTTCATCATCATCATCACATAAGGTATTGTTTTCTAGATCTTCAACTTCAGCTTGTTATTCTTCTTCGAAGCGATGCAAGCGTTCTAATAAAGACTGAATATGTTCATCAATACCGTCTTGTAAGAATGAGAGGCAATGCATGCACTTGAATCTATTATTTGTATAACAAGATTTGTGATAAGTGTGACCGCAAGCCAAAACTTAAATAGGATCTGTATTAAAAGAAATAGAACAGTTAGATGCATCGCAATATTGAAATGGATCTGGTCTATGTAAAGTATTAAACCCTAAAGGAAAATGACACAATCGTGCTTCCAGAATTTTCATTGCTGTTAATGAAATGAAAATTTCATTAATTTTATGGCGCTTCTTCGAAGGTATATTTGGATTCACCTGTAATGGAATTATTAATGGCAAATTATTGTAAAATATGCGTATATGGATTTCTGAAAAACATTGCAAAAGGAAACATGTACTTTTCTTTGTTAAATAAGTAATTTCTCAGGCAGAATATTCATAGGTGACCCATGTGGATGTGTGAGTGATGTTTTCTCTAAATCTGTTATCATTCAGGCATAATCGGTTGATAAAATATCCATATTTAATGATCTGCTGTGCCTCAGTGTATTTCTATATGCTCTGACGTAGAAAGCTATGGAATATTTTAACAGTCGAGTCTGAAAACTTTGGAAGTTCAGCTTTAATGGTTTTTAAAATAGGATGATCGTTTAACTCCCAGAAAAATATATCTGAAAGAAATATTAATGATGCCTTAGTATAGTTTTTGCGACGGAATTTGAGAAATACAATCCACACACGAATGCATAATTCTAAATAAACGTCAAAATCACTAGATCAGAAAAATATCGCATAAACGTCTAAAACCAGAGGAATTAGGTTATCAAGCAAATCTTTCAGTGCAAGATATTCAGCATCTTTGCATAGGAATCCAAATTTCGCATCAACACTTGTCGAAATTTCCTGTCAAGTATCATGAGAAATTTCTAAAAGAAGATTAATACGCTATGGCTTGGGCTTTTGTATAAGAGGACTTCGTTCTTCAAAAATATACTTGTACATAGCCAAAAAAAAAGGCCAATATTGAAGGAATATTAGTTCTCAACTATTTAACGAGATATGCAAAGGACCTATAATAGGAAGAAATGATAAAATAGAATTAGTGATATTTGATCGATTACGATATAAGATAAACGAGAGATGGCCGTCCTAAGTTAGATTTATTCAGGCCAATCAGTAATGACAGGTATAATATATTCCTTTTGAATATATTGTTACATAGATGGAACATTTACAATGGCATTAATGGCTTTGATATATGCATTTAAAGAATGGAGATTATTTTCTTGTAAATCTATGAGGACTACGTTTTTCATCGAACGAGCATCCCATTTCTCTTTCAATCTAGTATCATAACTATGTACAGTTAGCTCTTCTAATTTAGTACTATCATCAACTGAACGGAATCCCCAGCGTTGATTATGCGAAAGACTGAGAAGCGTCATAAATCTATTATTTAGATTCAGTTTTATCAACTTCGCGTCAACCAACCTAGGGTTGTGTATATTCATATTTGGAATCGCATACTGTGTAGTGATCGGGTTCATTAAAATTGTTGCCAAGTGTGCTGCAGTAGAAGTTGTGGTCGTGTTTGGCATCCAGTTTCGTATGGATACTATGATAATCATCGATATTTAATATCATTACCTTCTCTGCATGTTCCGCGAGTGTAGAATCAACAGTTTTAGCATGGTCATTAGATATGGTATTTTTATGTCACGTGATTGTATGAGATATTGTAGTTACACCTAGATCAGCAAGAGTATCTATGGAGGCATTAGAAACACCGGTAGAATTCAAATACATCATTAATTCTTTCTTTGCAACATTAACGAACTTGTTACAAATTCTGCAGAGAAAGTAGCATACATATAAAAGCTGCTTTTTCACCTGTGTTCGTGAATTTTCATTTTTTGAAGAAGGGTTAGAAGAAAGATATAACTCATCAAAAAATGAACTTAATCTTACATCTTTTTCTTCCATAACCACACAAAATTTATCAAATGAGTATATCGCTGATTTTTTTCCTTCTTTTTATGGTATAAAATATTAGTAATTATTTCTATTGCTTTAAAGAAAGATAAAATAGAAGGTGAAGGTGGTGGTACCTGAAGCGGAAGCAGTGGTGGTAGCGGAGCCAAAGGTGGTGGTGGTAGTGGAGGTTGAACCGGAGGTGGAAAGAAAGATTTCAGAGCATATTTTTGGAATGCAAGTGAGCAGTTTACCACAATTCCATTATAACAGTTTAAGCAAATCTTATCACCTATTTGTAAATATCCTGGTAAAGTTTTGTTAGTTTGACCTTTCGAAATAATTTACTCAGTTACCTTTTTCCGTCGTACTGACTGTTGGGTTTGGCATATTGTAATTATACACGATTCCATTAAGAGTACTTGCCTCTAAGTAAAGTACCTTTAGATTTTGGATTTTTTTGGGATTATTTTACACAGTGAATGTTAACACACTTTCGAAGCTAGAGAAAAAATTTTTTTATTTATTTTTATGTGAAACGTTACAATCTCAAAAGTACTCTAAACTATATAAATAATGTACCCGGCAATTGAATAGGATCAGCCAATCACGTGAATGTCTGTCTATGACAGCTGATTACTATTGGTTAATAAAGTGACAATCTCGTAGTAAGCCTCCCGTAAAAACAAAAATAATATATGAAAACCCATTACTTGTAGCAAAACCCATTAGTTTCTTGAGGTAAAAAAAGGACATGTTTATCATCAATTACGCGTTGAAATTTATAAAATAATAACTTATTAATGTTTTTCTTCTTTTAGTGACAATAAAAAAACTTAAGATCGTGATTTAAAGAATGTCATTTTATTAGTTAACACTGCTGGTATTTGAAATAGTTTTATTATTAAAAATAGTAAATAAAACTTCGTTTAAGCATTAAATAATAAATACTCTTCATTTATTATAGTTATCAATAATCTGTTAGCATGTTAACACCTCCTTATACTCCTTCACCAGATACCTCCTTTTCATGTATTACTTGTAACAAATAATTCAAAACTTTACGAGGTTTAACGCGGCATTTTTAAATCGTACAAACATACAATTAACGTTGACAAGACCTTAACGAACTTCCAGCTAATATCATTATTGAATTTAAAGAAATCTTAGTTATGGAAATACATAAACAATTGGTTTTAAATTTTAAATCTATGGGAAAGAAGTTAGTATCTATACCATGTTCTGAAAGTCTTTTTTTTTCTATTTTTGCTGGGCATATTCATTATCATTCTAAAAAAAAAAGTAATTACAAATGTATTTTTCGAGGTAATAGTGCATATCAAACTTTGAGTGAAATTTTAAATTCAAATCAATGGGAAAAAAGTTTATTCACAAAATCAAGAAACATATGTAGTATGTTTAGATCTGATTTCATGAAATTCTTCTAATTCTCAAAATCAATTTAAAGAAAATGAAACAGATCCTCTTGAACAATTAATTTATCAACAGCATTTAGTTAAAAAAAACTAGACGACCTTGATTTTTACGTGAAGAAATTTTAATAGAATGGAAAAAACGCGTGTCAAAAGAAATTAATGAAAATATATGTACAGGGGGTTATATATTTTTTAATTTTTATATTTTCCAATCTTTAGTATAAAGGATGTAAAGAAAAATTTTATTAATAAAAAATTTAAATTTTTTGACAATTATTAAAATTT